TATATATATATATATGAAAATAATGCACACCCGAGGTGGTGATGTGGCATCCTTTCCAAAGTCCAGACATTTACCAAACTAAACTAGAAAATAAATATTTTGAATGTTGGCTTATGATGAGAAAGATGTCAGTCAAATCACTATAGCCTCACTAAATAAATGTGTATTACCTCTGATCTTCCTCCTGGAATTTAACTGGAGGATCCATCGATGCATCACTCTTCATAGAAACATGGCTAAGCACTGGAGAGGCAGCTCTCTTCTGCTGATGCACCTCAACACTACAAAAACATTCAGGGAATCAAGTCAACATCAGGAACTGAACAAATAATCTCTTTTTAATCGTTGTTCTGTTCGAAGCCATCAAATTAACCAATAGGATTACATGCAGAGATTTTTGAATCATTAATAAACAATAAATAAATAAATAAACAAACATACCTTTCGGATTGATTGGATGTGTGGGGTATAGTAGGGGAGCAGCTGCCGCTGTTTTTGTCCTCATGGCTGGATGTGACATTATCTTTGGTTTCACTTGACTCACTCATGGCAGCGTTTTTCCAGACACCTTAAAAGATCCTAAAGTCGACATTTATACACCCAAAGTGCTTTCTGTCAGTTAAACATCATTTCCATACTTCCTGTTTTATTTGCCTACCCTTACCAAAAAGTAGTATACTTCAAGTTTATTTTATTAAGTATACTTAAGTAAAGTTCAAGTATATTTTTAAGTATACTTTGTGTAGCAAGTATACAAATATCAGTGTACTAGTAGTATACTTGTAAGTGTACTATTTCAATACTCCTTGGGACTGACCAGTATGTATATGACATGGGAGCCACCAGTGTTCGAATTGAGGGGCCCCATCATACCCCTCATTTTCGGATGTGGATGAAGGTTTTAAAAAATCGAAATCAAACTAATTAAAAATGGTTTATATGTAGCATATCAAGTAACAATAAATAAGAGGAGAAACTAGATGAACAACAACAATGACAAACTTAATTTGGAACGACTTCACATGCTCAATTTTCATGCAGGAAAACCAAGAGAAAATATACGTTTTTGTTTGTTTGTTTGTTTTTCCTCCCCTTAAATTTGAACGCTGGGTGCCACTGTTACGGTGGCCGAGAAGTGCAGAGCAAATCACAATTCTGAATACAAAATAACAAATTACAAACGCAAATGCAAGTCTAAAAAACAAAATAACAATTCAGAAAGCACAACAACAATTCAGAAAACATTATAACAAGTCAGAAAACACAATGACAAATTCGAAAACAAAATAATTTGCGTTTGTAATTTGTTATTTTGTTTTCAGAATTGTGATTTGCTCTGCACTTCTCGGCCACCGTACACTGTAGCTGCGTTTAACAAGACAGCTTTGAAAGAAGGGAATAGACCTGAATTTAACATGCATCAGATCAGCAGGTCATGTTATCCTCTCTGAGGTCTTCGTACTTATTTACCTGGGATGGCCATTCAGCAACTTCTGAAACATCTAATAATCTGAATGATTTTTACTTGATCTTTAACACAAACATAGTAGCCTACATACGCAGAGTTCGCACAATTAACGTTCTGATTAATGCATTTTCAAAATTTGAATGACTCCAGTCATTCTTACTGTTTTTAAGACGGAAAAAAACGCTAAATATTGAAGAAACAAACTACGTGCAGAAGTGTATTCACCTTGTCTGAGTCGGTGCGTCGTCGGAGCCGCAGTTTCGGTTTCCGTTCTCCTTCAGGATGAGCAACCTGGTTTACAGGCGGGGCCAGGTAAGTATTTATCACTTATGCATTCATGTTTGTGTAAACTTGCAGGTAAATTTCTGCTTAATTGTAGTGTCTTACCAGGAGACGCAATATTAATTGATAATACTTTTTCTATGGGTTTGAAATAAAGTTTTAGAATAAATTGCAATCAAACTTGTTGCGTTTCCTTTTAGAAAATCGATAACAGAAGCTTTGAAAACATATTATTTATCATTGAATTTGTTTTGGGTAATTTTTTTTTCTTTTCTTAATCTATAAATGGAAATAATTACAATACATTAAAATAACAACAAACCCCTCCTTGTATGACCCCATAGTGCTTCTACCTCCAGGGGGCGCCTGAAGGCTCATAGATTCGAATCCTCAATTGAGCTGCGAATGGAAATATTTCTAAAACGACTTAAAACGTGTTCCAAAAGTATACAGATGAGACGCGGCTTGTGTCTGAACAGAATGGGTCTTTATTCAGGAAACGAAAGAAAAAAGATTGTAATCAACACCCCATTTAAATACAAAACAAATCAAAATAAGGAACAACATGATATTCAGTTTGCATATCAAAGAGCCATTCGGTAATAATTACAGTCGGAACACTTCATAAACCACTTGTGTGAATCTACACAAACTTGATTTAGAAACTAGAACATTAACAATATTACAAAGATTTTAGCTTTAAAAATAATTCAAATTGAAATAATATTTTAGCAGTTAGCATCATAAAATTATATATTCATATCTTTCCACATAAAAATACAAAATAATATTAATGACATATAATATGAAAAATTATCCCAAATATTTTGCTACTATTAGAGTAAAATAAAAAAACAAAAAACAAAAAATAGAAATATGCATGAAAAAGTTTCTCCTTTTGTTAGCAAAACACTATCCAAAATAACTACAATCATTTACATCGGTACAAAGATATCTGGATTTAAAAATAGTTGCAATGAAAAAAAGGGGTTTCATCTTTTCTGACAGTAAAAAATGACACTGTGAATCAGAAATTTGCAAAATATGCAATGAAAAAAATAAATCTGCATTAAAAAGGTATACACTGCAATTCTCACTTTTTTTTATACAAACATTAGAAACAGTATTGCACGTCACAACACAGATTCGAGGTTAGTAAGCCTTTCAAAATGTGTTATATTCAAGTTTCTGAGTATCAGTGAGGGGAGGGCTGATACTCCTCCATCTAACCAGGGAGAGTCTCAAGTGTTTTCCATGAACATAGTAGAACCCTCAATGCTTCCTTCCTTCAAATTAAATACACGACCAATTAAATAGTAATCAAATCGATGTGTGCTAAGCAATAATACATAAATAGATTCATACACACACACAACTGCACGGATGATTAAAAAAAAACGGCCTTTTGCATCTTCCAGTGCGACGCTGCGTGTGAACGTAACCATAAATACATGGGCAAATCAAGTGAGAGTCAGAGGTCTACAGAAATAGAAAAATACAATTTAAATCAAATAGTTATCTGTCTACAAAAATAGTCAAATAAATATGATTTTTCAAAACGACGACGATGACGACAACAAAAACCCACACATACACGTACAAAGCAACAGTGTTGAACACGAAAAATGGAGCGCGCTACTCTTCACCAACAGAGAGAAAGACGACGACGACGATGCGGCGGCCATCTTGATTAGCTCCCAGAAACACCTTCGCTAGTTACTCCGAGTACACGGTAGATCGCCGTAATCGCTTAAATAGAATCTGGGTCCAGCGTCTTACACAATACATCAAATAAGTTACTATGTAAAAAATAAAGATATTTAAATTATCCAATAGACTTAAAATAGGTCGCAATTCTTCTACAACCAAATAGTATACAAAAAAAGGTGATACAAGTGATACAAAATAAAAGTTTTGCGTTCGACTCCAAACGTCAGGAAAAAGAGGGATTGGTTCTCTTAGAGGAGAAAAGAGAGGAGAGAAATCGAAAAGGTAGTGCATCACGTGTCCGCAAGAGTCTGGAAACACGTCGACAAATAAATAGACACATATACGCAATAAATAAACACACAATCTCAGCTCACTGTTGAAAGGTTAAATCACATACACGAACTGGACAGTACGACAAGGGCACTGAATTCTTCACCAAACCCGAGAACACAAGGATATATAGAGTGCAAAAAGAACAACAGACAGACAGACAGAAAGAGCAGTACAGTACCAAACGACCATTGCTTCTGTAGAGATTGTCCTTAAGACCGATCCGATCGAAAATGCTAACGCTACAAAACATTTCGCCACAGGGTTCCTTTTGTGACGTCTCTCGTCTCTCTTTTCTCCACGGCTGTTCTTACCGATAGATTTTGTCCAGAGAATAAACTACGAAACGCGGCGCTAGGCTCCGCCCACCACGCACAGACAATGACCACGGGTACGATTACTTCGCGAATTCCTACGAACTACATCATATCAAAGCTACCACGGAAAACGTCCTTGTCCTGCGCTCTATCGCAGTAAGAGGGGTGGCATTCAGGGGTGTTCAGGAAGGGCAAAGGTTAAACGTCCAGAGACGATCCTCTGGATCATAGAGTTTAAATCGAACTGAAACCTCAATTCATAACTAGACTCACACGGCACGAAGACAAGACACGAAAACCACAGGACAGCACACCGTCTCTTGACTAATTATCGAGTTACAAAATGGCAGAACTCACTACTCTAAAAACTAACGTCACTGCTCTCGTAATAAGTTCGTAAAGGAATCATCACAACAACGCATGCAAAGGTTTTACGAAGAATTTTACATTTTTTTCCTTTCGATATTATATTATCTTATATCTAAGAGTCTGACCTTCTTTTGCCTCATGCTACATACATTCCTCTGTTTATCGTTAATATGCATCATGTTTTGTTTGTGTTTTTTTTCTTTCTTATATGTGCTGGCAACCTTTACACTGCATGCAAATGATGTACAGCCACAAACATGCATGTAAGTTTTCACATTCTGTGTTTCCATGGCGACGATCGGCCATGCCGTGCGAGAGGGAACGGACTGCATTTCTGTGTATGACATCGCCAGTGACGTCACAATGGCATAGAACACCGACACTATCTAATCGTCATATCCTATTTAGCAGCAAAGCTTCTTCTATAGCTTGTGATTAAATTGCAAGAGTAGAGCAATAACAAGCCAGATTAATATTCTGAGGTATTGTCTTTTTTTTTTGCCAGTGGAAAATGGAAAGTCTCAGTAATTAATTATTGAATCATTCCTATTCCTGCTAAGAGCACATTGGAGCAAAACATCAAGGGGGGAAATATTATTGTTTTTTTTGTTTTTTTTGTATATTCCGCGGCGAACGTCTCGTTTTCAGGCCGCGCGTTTTGCTACCTTTGGTTCGAGATCCAGGGCAGGCATCAGAGATTACGTCATCAAGGGTTTTCCAGAGACAATTGCGCACTTTGCCCACTAGGGGGGGGATTTAGCAGCAGACGGACACACGACGGACAGAACGAATGAACAGAACGGACAGGCTGCCCCCCCAAGCGAAAACATTCTCGTTTCTACTTTTTAAATCTCACATATAAAAATAATTTGAAAAAACTACAAAAAATCAATCTCTTTTTTTTTCTTAATCTCCTTTTTAAAAAACATGAACGTACCACAAAAACTCTGTTCCGAGCCTGAGATGCACAGGGAGGGAGGAGAAAGAAGTGGTTTGGTGAAATAAACTGAGGCTTGTAGTGTTTCTGGCTGCTACAAAAGATAAAGATATATTTATATATTTATAGTCATATATATTCTCTATATACTGTATATGGTTATGTACTCTATACTGACAGCTTGGGTTCAGGGGCCAAACTAAGCATCTTTTTCTTCCCGCAGCAAACGTGTTGTTTCTGCGTCGTCTTGCATGCTGCCGCTCCCGGCACTCCCGGAGTCCCCGTCTTCAGTTCCAGCGGAAGTGGATTTGGCGGGGGCGGTCGGCTCCCTCTTTGACCAGCGGCTTGTGGAACTCGCGGCCGGCGCGGGAGTGGATGTTTGCCCAGCAGAACTCACAGTAATACTGCAGGCAGGTGACATTGGCGCAAAAGAACGGGGCGAACTTTCCGCCACAACGTGCCCCCTGGCATTCGTCGCACAGCTGGTCATCCAGCACGTATGGCTTCACCTCCACCTGTGTCACATGAACAAGAGAAACACGGTTGTTTTTGGTTCATTTCTACTCTGGTAAAGTACTCTGGTATAGTTAATTAAACAGTACCATGACCCGTGTTGGGTGAAATGCATTACTAAGTAATTAATTATTAGGCTATTAATTTAATTACTTTTCCCTTGAAAAATTCAAGTAAGGGATTACTCTTAATTTTTCTTCAATTTAATTACAGTTACTTCTGATGTAATCCGCCATTGTTTTATATAGAGTTGTTCTATAGTTTGCACAATATTTAATTGTATAGACAATAGAACAACTCAATATAAAACAATAGTGGATTTAACATCAAAATTTTATATCTAATATTAAAATGTATGTTTTTAATGTAATCTCCATTTAAATAATTTGGTCAGTTCAAGAATAATTTATGCAATTTGATATTATTTATTTAAAAAAAAAAAAAAAAGAAAGATCAGTTCATGTTTATCCTTATGTTGTTTAACTGGTCGAGGTTGATATGGGACTTAGAAAGTAGTTTGTAATAAGTAATGCAATACTTCATAGAGAGAATGATTTGTATAGTAATCTAATTACAGTGTTGAAGATGACTTTTTTAGCATAACTTCCCAACACTGACCATGACACAGTTATTGTGTGCATATGATATGGACTACAAAGTGATGGGTAAAATAATGATACAATTATAGCCTTGGATTAATGAGATTTGGTTTAATTATTACATGTAGTTAATGTTGCATACAACGATGCAATGCAAGAAGTGCACTTAACTGTATTGAATGTGCATTTGTAGTGTTCTTCAAATATTGTATAAAACTATACTTGCCGATAATGTAATATTAAAACGTTAAGTGCTCTTTCAGCGCTATGTTTCTTAACACAATGTGACGGATGAAATGAAAATAATATCAGTTGCATTGTGGCATATGTTCTTTGTTATACTGCACATTTGATCAAATCTAGCAAGTCTATGTACACAGGAAATAATAAATCAGAATAGCATACTATGCACAGTCAGGGCTGTCCTTAGCTGACGCGGGGCCCTGGTGCGACCGCACCAGTTGCACCCCTCTAAGGACGGCACTGTGCACAGTATGCATACTATACACTAAGAGTAGTATGGTAGTGTGCTATTCTGGATGTTACTAGTCTCAAACAAACACGTAAGTGCCGTCTACTTACCCGTTTGTCGATGTCGCCATGCTGCAGCTGGACGAATCGGGCGCTGATGGCAGCAATGTAGCTCTGCTGATTGGAGAAGGCCACACGCCCCGCCCCCTTTGGGTACTTCAGCTCTGGATCAGTGTCAATACCCGCGTAACACACTCCACCATACAAGCGGTCCATGATCATGGCCAGCTCCACTGCAGAGAAAGATACAATTAACGTCTATTTAATACCCCCCCCCCAAAAAAAAGAAAACTTTTTAATACTTTTTGAAACAGTTAGAAGACGAACCACAGTGAAATTAATCTTTGTTGAGATAACTGGCATCTCTTCACATTGTGGACATCATATGCTGTAGTTTAAAACAAATACAACAACGAGCCGCGTGTTTGCCTTACCAGCTCTGAGTGGACGTGGCACTCCTCCAACAAAGATGGTCTTACGAGGGTCCAGCGGCTGAGATCCATCCATCACAAAATCACTGTCACTCAGGTTCCAAGGACGAATCTGGACCTGAAAAACCACATACAAATCCCGCATATGAAACACAGTGTACATGAAAACAGAAAAAAGACACCATTGTGAAAAAGAAGTGCACTTAATTGTATGTTGAACTGTACACTGAATAAGCATTTGTAGTGTACTAAAAGATTTCCATGACTGTTTCTCAACTCACTTTGTAATAATGTCAAATAAGAAATGTTGCTTTTAAGTACAATTAAAGGATTATATTTTATGCATAGCAACAAGTACTTGCTACTTGCCAATACATCCACAGACATGTTGCAGTGAGCATGCAAGAAATACTGCTGCTGCACATATAACATACATGAAATCAACCCGTAACAGATCTATACAGGTGGAGCTGGGGGAGGTGGAGGGTTTCTGAACTGCTGCAGCAAGCACTAGCCAAGTATTTAAATGAAGAGCAGCAAGCTCATTGGACTTGTAACCCAAAGGCCGTGGGTTCGAGACTCAGTACCGGCAGGAAAAGGAAGTGGGGGAAGTGAACGAACAGCACTCTCTTCCACCCTCCACCATAAAGTGTGCTTCTTTTTCACAATTAGAGAATATTCACAATTACAGCATATTTAAAATTAAATCCATGTATTTTTTCCAAAGCAACAACACACTTCTTTAAAAACAGATGGCATGTGTCAGACACTAGTTAAAAACAGATGCAGGCAAGATTGAATGATGTTTATTCCGTTTTGGAGAACTGAAGGTCTATTCACTCATAGTGATGTTTTGTTGTGTCCCTTTTGGTTTAAATATCTGAAGACTTCAGACTCAAATGAAAGAATAAACACACTTTCCTCTCATCACTGAGATGGTATCATGGACTCTGGCAGCATGTGAATGTATCTGGACTCACGGGCTTGTCTTTGATGGTGGGGCTGGACACACACAGGTAGAGTTTCCCATCCTCCTCCAGACAGGCTTCGATCAGCGCCTGAACTGAGCTCTCTTCTTGGAACAGGAGGAAGGCGTAACCTAGACAACAGTCAATCACTGTAACCACGGCAACCAGAGCTCAATGTAACATCCGATTTCTGACTGAATTAATAAAAACTAAGGATCACAGCAACCAGAGGCATTGGGTGAATCTCGCTAGTTACAGAGCACACATTATTCATTATTACATATCTAAACATTCAATTTATAATACTCAAATTAATACATTTAAAATGTTAATACATTTAAAACAATAGACATTTTCCATGCAGATTTTGCATCGGGTTGAAGGTGGTCATGCAGATTTTCTGCACTGACCAATAGAAAGCTGTTTGGAATTGAAAGTGACTTCAATCACTACATTATAGTCACATTTCTCTGAACGCACATTCACTGCATGTATATAATATGAAATAAGCTACTATTTTTGTGTATCTGAAATTTGTAAACATAATTAATTGGTCATTTGTATTATAACATATCCATAACCAAATGTTTGGACGCATCTGATTAAATCTATCGTTTTCATGATCATGATGTCACTGTTATGAAGACTTGTTATTCTACAATGTGAAAAACAGTAATAAAGAAGGGGAAGGTGTGTGCAAACTTTTGACTGGTAGTGTGTTTACAGTATGTTCATGCAGATTTCTATTGCTCTGTTTGCTATGAATGTGGTGATTTTTCTAGAAGTACCTTTAGGGGGGAAGTAAGACTTGCTCTCTGCTTTGTGTGGCCAATCAACAAACAGATGACCAAAGCGCCGAAAACTGCTTGTGATTTCATCTGTGGGAAAGATGAGATCGTGAGAGTCAGATAGAGAGAAGCAGGAACTGTTGCAGATCCTTTTTCATAAGGAAATATAATGATTTTAATCTGTACAAACATACTTTTGAAACTAGCATGCAGATGTAGGTACACTAGTTAGACATAGGGATAGGTGATACGACTAAAATCTTGTATATGCTGATCTATATATAATGAAATAACGATTTCTTGCCGAAAATAAGGTTGTAATGATACCAAAATTGTAGATACCACTATAATGTCACAATTCGGCTAACTAATGTCAGAAAGTCCTCAAGCAATTATTGAAATAAAAATGAAGCAAATTACAAACAATGGAACAAATCAACACAAGAGAAGAAAGATACAAATGAAATAAACAGTGCTTTAAGTTTTTTTTAACAGTAAATGCAGTTATTTTTAAGAGGTTGTTGACATCCTATCTAAAACGTGATTTAGCCAATAAAAAAAAAATAATAATAATGTTACCACTCTAATATGTCTTGCAATATCCGTGCGTGCAAAGGTTCTGCGCAATCCTCTTGTTCAATATTCTCTGGGTCTGAATCCGGCTCAAATTGATATGGCAGTATTGACGCCATCCTTAACTAAACTTGCTGCTTTGGCAAGGGGCGGGGCAGTACTGAAACACCGTCTAAACTGTTTGCCAATCACAACCAACGCACTGGGATAGCTAACCAATCACACCACATTTCGTTTTTTAGAAGGCGGGCGTTCATCTAACCCGGAACTAATCGAGCCGTTTGTGCCAGACTGGGGAGAAAGGTTTTGTAATAATGTAAATTATGTAAAAAATAATGCGTTTTTCGAACCACCAAGCATGAGAGCAGTACACCCCCAAAACAAATTCAAGACATTGTAAAAGAGCATTGTAGGACCCCTTTAAAGTGTTGTAAGCGTTCTTTTCAGTGTGTTGCTGTGTGTCTTGGGTGGTTATTGGTAGTTAACTACTTGTGATCAATCGATATATCATATCAGTTGACCATTACCGATATTTTTAATATCGGTACCGATATTTTCAATTATCGTCATTGTTAAGATTTCGGTTTGGCCAGCAAGTCTTGGAAGCAGGATTTTTATTTTGACAGCATTGAGAACCCAGCACATGCTCACAGAATTTTCTTCGGTTTTTACACGTACACTAGGGTTCGTGTACAGTGTGCGTGTTATAAATTTTGTCATCGTCACAGTATGTGCTTACTGTACAAACGCAGCCCGATTGTTCTAATTGCATATACTCTGTACACTCAGCTTGTACATGCAACTATTTTTTTTGTTTTTTTTGTTGTTGCACTACTTAGTTGTTCCACAACGTGGTAACACTGGCCCTGCCATTTGCTTCACAGCTGAAAAAGAAACTGAAGATTTACTATCTTGGTCTTAAACCCTGCTCCTGGAGACCCAATGTCTGGCACAGTTTATTTCCAACCTGCTATAACATACCTGCCTGTGATTTTTCAAGTGGTCCCAAAGACATTGATTAGCTGGTTCAGGTGTGTTTGATGAGGGTTGGAGCTAAACTTTGCGGGACACTGGTGCTGCATCCAAATATATAGTAGGTGAAAACAGTATGTGAAAAGAATAGCATGTCCAAATTCATTGTATTCAAAAAACAGTACATGAAAAGTACCCGGATGACCTTCCGAGATTCTAAAGTGCGCATCCAGTGGACACTGTACTATCCCATGAGGCCACGGGAGAGGATTTATGAATGGCAGTGAAATGGTGCAACTGACGCTGGTAAATCACATGACAGTAACAACATGGCAGATTTAATATGTCCAAATTCATTCATACTTCCCAAATTCATACTATATAGAACATACTTTTAAAGGTCGCCAATTAAGTTTTAACCCAAACCTAGCACCTACTAGACGGTAAGCGATTTCAGACAGAGCTTGGGTCTCCAGGAGTAGGGTTAAAGGCCTCTGGATTAAATAGGCTGATCACATATTTCACTTCATATGGACCACCCTGCTCTCTAAGATTTTGGCATCGGCCATCAGAAAAATCTATACTGGTCGACCACAGGACAGATTCAAAGTCCATTCCCAAAACTGATAATCTAGTCTCTAAATATGGCTCAGGTCAATCCATCAATGTACCTCTATGGAGGTCCACCAGACAAAAACTGTGTAATATTTCTGGTTTGGGCTTTGTTCAGGTCACTAACCCTAAATATGAGCAATAGTAATACTAATGGCTGACTTAGGATGTATTCAGACCAGGAAAGTCCGCTAGTTCACTTGCTTTGGTCCGGACCAAATACAATGTTGATTTTTTTTGTTTGGTGTGGTTCGCTTTCACACTGCCCTTTTTGCAAGTGAACCAGAAATTGCAAAACAAAACTACACGTGTGCTAACGGTCATCCATTCATTGGACAGAAATTCTCAAGCGTACCAGAGTTCGTTTGGAACCGGACCGAGACCACCTCTTCAGCTGGGTCTCGGTGTGGTTGTTTGGTCCGCACCCGAGTGTGATTGCTGTATTCACACCTGCCCAAATGATCTGCACCAAGGGGGGAAACGAACTTGAGTTCAATTCAATCGAACCAAACAAGACAGGTGTGAATACACCCTTAGTAAACACCACTGATTAAAGACACAAAGCAAACAAAAAGAAAGCTTTTGTCTACAACGACAGTTATTTTTAGAGTATAATCTATGATGATCCAATTATCCAAAAAAGAAAGCAACAGCTGTTACTGAAATATGTCATCACAAGAGAGAAAAGCACAATCGTGCGCAGCTTCAGAGACTGTGATCCAAACTGAGCGTACCGAATATCAGCTCAGCCAAACACAAGCAGCAAGAGTTCAGTCACGCTGGCTAAAAATGGATGGAGCCCTACTGGCAGACGCTCCGTCTGGATGCAGCGAGCTGATTAGTCAGACAGGATTACCTCACCATGTATCAAAGTAAAATGCTAAATTGTTGAAATTTCATTACAGAACTACTCAGGTGCAAAAACATCAGGAACATATGTATAAAATAACATTAAGGCAACAAACAATACATCACTGTAAATGACGTAAGCGAGAACATTTGAGAGTGGCAAAGTGAGCCAAACCACAGCATTTATGACTAATAAGTATGACAGTTTTAAACCGAAGAACATGCCTGAGCAGAGGATTTCAGAAACACAGATGAAGACATCAAGCCCCAGACTACATTGGTACTTCAATTATAAAATTTCATATATTTAAAATTATTTATTGTGGCACAATGGTCCAAAGGTACAGTAACCTTCAATGCTCCAAGGTGTGACTGGGCAGAACTTTAAGGTTTAACATAATTTCTGTAACAATTAAATAGCAATATAATTACTAGAATAAAAAAAAATAGTTGTGGCCCTGGATGCTAGATGCTAAATGCTAACATACACAAATTAGTACAAGTACGTCACACCTCTGGGAATATTAACTTGTTTTAAGCAGCCCATCTTCATCAAAAATATGTAATTTCCAGGCCTACGTTGGTAGGACTGTCTCTAAAGATGGCCTCTGCTACATATGAGTGTATTACAGACAGAAGAAAAGAAAAAATAAACTGTAGCTCACTGTCATAATTACCATTGAGCATGAGTAGGCTGTCAGCGCCTGGGTGGGGGCATCCCACACGGCCTGAACATGAGAGAGGGAGACAGAGAGAGCAGTATGAAACATACAGCCACATGCCAGTGTTACAAAACCTACAAAGTTGCCTATGTAGGGAGCATTTTTAAGCATCTAGATCCCAGATTGCACTGCTACAAGCTCACTGGAACAGACCAGCTAACAACCTTTGCATTTCTGGTTGCGTTTTTTTAAACATCATATCATTAGCTTAGCAACATGTTAATTGAATCACTTTCAGAACGGCTTTTTTTCCAACTTATGAATGATAAAAACACCAATCAGAATCAGCCAATCAGAATCCCCCAGAATTAAAAGATACTGAGCATTTAAAGCTGTAAACGACAAAACTGCAGTGTGTGCTTATAATAAACAGAATGAGATTGTGTGCTGATATGGATGCTAATATAGTTATTGTTATAGCTATAATTTACATAAACAGGCCTTAAGAAGTTCTATTTCCATTGGGATTCTGCCTGATAAAGCAGAGGACAACAAAGCGACTCAGTGGGTTTTGAAAGGGAACCCTTGTCCCTCATGAGGAATGTTTCTAGAAATGATGAACTAGCTTTGCTGTGTTACTAGGTCACCCTTACGTTTGACCCCGGTCATATGACACATGCAAACACAGAGCGTCAAATCTCTGAAGCTCTGTCACATGACACATCCCATGAGCACTTAAGACACAGAAAAATGTACTTTGCATCTGTGTTTGTCAGGGGCTCTGTAACATGGGGGATGGTTAGGATGAAGGGCCCAGCCAGAGCGAGGGGCCCCGTCAGATAGAGGGAGGGGCAAATAGAAACGTTTGGTTTTCTGTGATGCATTACACATTGTTGTTGCAAATTCTGCTGATTTGTCACCCATAGATTAGATTTTGTTGAAATTGCAAGGGCTGCAGGGCTTCATTTTTTTTTTTTTTTTTTTGCTAAATAAAAATTCTCTCTTTTTTTCTGTTTGATTTTGGGGTCAAATGTGGAAACCTGCACATGTTGTCCTGAGATTTATCCATAATCTTGTCTGACAGATTTTTTAGAAAACATCCAGGTACACAGAGAATCAGCTGTAATTCTTCCAAGTCCTCTTAACACACACACACACACAACCCATCTGGTGTCCGATTATTAAACGTGGACGCTCCTAGAGACATTACAATGTTTCACAGAGCTCCTGTCGTCTATCCACAGTGAATCAAACTACTGTTTCGTTTCATCTGCTTTTTTGATTACACACAACAGCATCACAAGCCAAGTCTGCCAAGTGTTTAATATTTCAACAGCACTGTGTTGTTTTGAGTGCTTTAGCTGGTGTCAGCACATTCCCTGATGCCGGCAACCGCTCGTGACGACCCATTAACCGAGCCGTCGTTTATTAAGCAGGTTTCTTAGGAGTGCTTCGCTCAGGACATCTCCCATGATCTGTCCGATTAAGCGCACGACAGCATGTTTGAAAAGCTAAAGCACAGGTAGCTTAGCTAATAAAACATTTAGATCATAATCTGGTTGTTTTGTACTATTAACCCCCTAATTTACAGATTAAAGTCAACATGAAATGTCATTAGAAAGTTATATTACTTCCATACTTCCTGACTGAAACAGGATATTCCAGAGCATCCCGGTCTTTCCAAATGATACAATTTCTATTATATATTGTTATTTGCTGTTATTGCTGTAACCTTTATTACATTAACAGTAACCAGCATTAAATTATAATGTCAACTGAGGCAATATTTTAGAACGGCTGCATTATAAATCATGCACGATCAAGTGTTAACATAAATAAGGTTTCATGTTGACTTTAAAGGAGGGCCTGTGTAAACCATAGAGACCCTCACTCACTCTCCTGTCCTTTATCTGTCAAACACAGGATGGCAGAGTGTGTCCTGCGCTAAATATAGGCCGTACCCACACCCTTCCCTCTCCCTCTCCCTCTCTCTCTCTCTCGGTCTCTGCAGTAGGTGCCGCCCCATGTGTCTGGTCCATCTGCTCCAGCAGGCTGAGCGAGAAGCTCCAGTGAGAGAAGCAGACAGAGAGTGAGTGTAGCGCAGTGCCACACCCTGATCACAGCACCACACGCACCTCTCTGCCCTCCTATGACACAGAGACACACCGCTCAACACAAAAACAACTCCCACTGAACGATACTTGGGTTTAAATAAAGCAAAAGGCCATGACAGACAGTGCATTACTGTGATTTTACCATGGAGCATACTGTAGGGCTGCACGATTATGACAAAAATCATAATTGTCGACTATTCCCTTGAAATTGTAATTGCGATTATTAATTACGATTATCATAATTTACATTGAATGATGTTTATACCATTGTTTGAAGCAACCGATGAAAATAAACAAGCTGAAAACACTCTAACTGAAAAACTTGTATTGCTTTTCTATAGCATTAAGCCTCAACTGTCAACTATACATTGGATTGGTTTCTAATTTAAATAAAAAAGCAAAACATATGCATATTATAATGTTATATTAAAACTAGAATTAAAACCCTTAAAAGATAACCTGTAGAAAGAAAAAAACACATCTTAAGCATGCAGAATAACATAAGTGGACTTTGAATGATTACGTAATTGTGGCATCCGTAATTGTAATCGCGATTAGAAATTTGATTAATTGTGCAGCCCTTGAGCATGGAGTACTTGTGAAACCTTCAACATAAAATGCTAAGGGACTTGATCTTATCCACTGAGAATTCACTTAATGGGGAAAAGTGGGTGTAAGATAACAAAACATACGGAGGAGGTTGAAGGGAAGGGCTGGAAACTACGCGAGATTTGTGATGAATGAAAAGTCATTTCAGAGGCCTAGCAAAGAAGTGCACTTAACTGTATTGAATGTGCACTTGTAGAATATTTTATAAAAGTATATTTTAAAAAAACTGTATACATAGATAATATAATTAATGAAATAAAAGCCCATTAAAATGTACTTGAAGAGAGACACTTTCATGACTGTTTAACACACTTAAGCACACTTTTTAAAATGTGCACTTTGAAATAATGTCAACTTAAAAGTTTTACTTTAAAGTACATTTTAAATCATTATGTTTCAATAATCTTTTGTTGTGCTTTAAAGAAGTACACTTGTTTTGATGTGTTGACTAACATACCAAAGCACATGTAAAGTAATTGATTATAATTTAATCGTTGTGTTATTTTACATACATTTAAAGTTATAAAATATATTAAATGTAGTAAATTGCAACCGGAGCATTACAAATGTGTAATTACAAATATATTTAAATATATGACACACAAGTATGAATAAAAATTACACTAAACTAAAGTAAATTTTAGTTTAGCATAAATGCTTGTCAGTACATTCAGCACTTCACTTTAACCATATTTCAAAGACAATAGAAGTATTTATGAAATTACATATAAAGATGTACTTAAGTCTTACTTCACGGGGTCAAAACGTTCACCTAATTGAATTTAATATAAATTTAAGCAACAATTAACATGCAATTGTGTGTCGGAAAACGTTACATTCAGTTCATACTTAAGTCTATTTTTAAAGTATATTATTTTTGTAATAAGTACTTTTTTAAATGTACAGTGGGTACGGAAATTATACTTTCCGTACCCACTGTATGCTAAAGTGTACTTTTTCACAAGAGTTCAATCTTGATTAAATATTTTAAAGATATTTGGAGTAATGATATGTTGAATACTGCACAATAAGTAGACAAAATAATCAACTGTGATTTCATACTGACATTCACCATGGCAAACTCACTATTTCACACAGCCACAGGTAGCTTATTGCTAAAGTTAGACTAATTTATGAATAAAGAACTGTTACAAGACAAAAAATGAAAGATGCAACACGTTTGTGTATTATTATGTTAATTTAAAGGTGCACTAAGCGATTTTTGAAAAACGCTTTTGACCACTGTGTCGGACCGAGTCCCAAAACACACTCGCAGCCAATCAGCAGTAAGGGGCGTGTCTAGTAATGATCGGGAGAAGAGAGCGCTCAGTGAGTGCACAGGACGGATATCAGCAGATCGACTATAGATAGCGAGAGATGGCAGATAAAAAAATAGGAACATTTCAGAGGAACAAAACATTAAAAAGAAGGGTTACGATCAGGCAAGAGGTAGCACCCGTTTAAATATTGGAGCAGCTTTCCAGCGGTGGAGAGAACATTAAGGAGCGGAAGGCTTGGAATCGGACGCCGAGGTTGCTTTGTTTCTTCTCGATAGGTGAGTTGTGTTGATTTTGCTTTGTTTCACACAACTTATCTGTGTTGGCTTTTGCTTGAATATGCTGCGGCTAGCAGGCATAACAGATTCTGCCATAGTCGCTGCCAGGGTTGTGTACGTACGTGTGGGGCGGCGTTATCAAAATAGGGGCGAGGTCCTGTTGGGGTATGGGCGTGTTTGTTTTGGTGCTTTTAAATATCAACATCATTTGGCAAATATCGCTTAGTGCACCTTTTACAACCTCTTTGAATGTCATCCGATCAGATTTTAGAGCCGAAATATCTGTTTTATAACCCCACTTTTAGATATATAGAACCATCCAACAACCAACAGTGGCCGTCGCAAAGCTCAACACAGCCTTTTCAGTTATACCCTCTTTTTATTTCCATCAATCAAAAGTTAATAAAATAAGCTAAATCATAACATGAGCCATATATATCGTGAAATCTGTCCTCAACTTCCGTACTGAACATGTATTCGGTCTTTAAAAGCCTTATGAGACTCTCATGGCGACAGGAAATGGATCTTACCCTTCAGAGGGTCCTGCTCCGCCCTCATGATGTCGATCAGGGAGCTCTCCAACGAGTGCATGTTCAAGCTGTCATACATCCTGGACCGATCCTGAGGAAGAGGGAGTTGAGGAACGTGTCAGTATGTGCGGTACAGAATTATGGGATTGCATGCAGCACACTAATGCAAGCAGGCACACCAGAACGCAGGGAATGTGGGCCGCCAGTACGCAGGTCACCACTGAATCCCTGAATACTGCGGCAGACTGAATGCTGGTATGGCCGCTGGAATGTTGTTTGTAGAGCTGTCACGAGTGGAATTAACCAGGCTGCTTTGTTAGGTTTAGTGTATTTTGGACCGAAGGTTCAGCCAAACTAGTCTCGGTGCGTGACTGTTTTTAGGCAGAACGAAACCAGCGTATGTGTGGCAGATTTGTGTGTGTCGCTTGTTTTTGTTTTTCAGCTGCATTACCAGAATATCCCTCTTCTATTCTGCAGATTCGGCATCCCATCTCCCGGTCACAACACCTGCCTGACAACATGCCACAAGATATCTGCGTCATTACCGCAATGAGCCCAAGAAGGAATGTGAACATAAACACAGCTCTCCGCCACCCGCTGGCCCTCACAGACCTGTGTGTGTGTGTGTGTGTGTGTACATCACAGGAAACACACGCTCACACACACTTCAGGCTCAACACAGGAGACCCTCATTATGAACACACTTCTGAAAAAGAAATGGACTTTGCATTGAATGTGCACTTGTAGTGTACTTACAGATAATATTAATAAAAGGCCGCTTGAGTGTACTTAAAGAGCACTCTTTCATGGCTAAGTGCCTTATAGACTTTTTAAAAGTGCACTTGTGATATCAAATTTAAAGTTTTAAAGTATATTTCCAAAAATGATCATCTTAAATTTAACAATTTAACTGTTGTACACTTATTTTGATGTGCTGGCTAACATACTAAAACACATGTAAAGTACTTGATTATACTAGCAGTTTGTCGTTCAAATTTTAAATGTACTAAATTGCAACGGTGTCCGAAAACATTACATTCAGTTCACACTTAAGTATATAATTTCCATAATAAATACAGTCATTCTAATGTAAAATACATATGATGGTCTGAAGACGTGCACTTTGGTGTTGGGTGAGAAAATGGACATGTTATATGTTCGGAATACCATACTGCTCCAACAATGTGTAGTATGAATAACAAAACTATCAAAATTAGATTAAAAATGCACAAAAAAGGTTTTATACACTCTTAAAATAAAAGGTTCTTTTTTGAAAGCAACGGTTTCATGAAGAAGCTGTCACGAATCCGGTCCATGAACTTCCAACTGCTTGCCACCAGAGGTCACCCTTCCACTACTATGGTCTCAAGTCACAACAGATCTTCATGAGTCGAGTCAAGTCACAGTTGATCGTCATGAGTCGAGTCAAGTCACCGTTGATTCCCCTGAGTCAAGTCAACTCACAACATATCTTCATGAGGCAAGTCAGGTCACAGTTGATCTTCATGAGGCAAGTCAATTCACGGTTGTTCGTCATAAGTCAAGTCAAGTCACAGTTGATCCTCATGAATCAGGTCACATCACAGCTGATCATCCAGAGTCACGTCACATCACGTCTGTTCACTCCGAGTCCTGTCACTTCCTGTCTGTGGCACCCAGACCCTCAGGGACTGTT